GTATGGTGAATAACGAACACGTATGATGAATAACGAACACGTATGATGAATAACGAACACGTATGATGAATAACGAACGTATGGTGAATAACACGTATGGTAAATAACGAACACGTATGATGATTAACGAACACGTATGGTGAATAACGAACACGTATGGTGTATAACGAACACGTATGATGATTAACGAACACGTATGATGAATAACGAACACGTATGATGATTAACGAACACGTATGATGAATAACGAACACGTATGATGATTAACGAACACATGATGAATAACGAACACGTATGGTGAATAACAAACACGTATGGTGAATAACGAACACGTATGATGAATAACGAACACGTATGATGAATAACGAACACGTATGATGAATAACGAACACGTATGGTGAATAACGAACACGTATGATGAATAACGAACACGTATGATGAATAACGAACACGTATGGTGAATAACGAACACGTATGGTGAATAACGAACACGTATGGTGAATAACGAACACATATGATGAATAACGAACACGTATGATGAATAACGAACACGTATGGTGAATAAAGCATCACGCCACAAGCTATAGTTCATGTGACCTACTTTTTATTTTTTTTCCGACCTTGATCAAATTTCTGGTTAATCTCCACAATTCGATCAGTGCGGGTTGGGGGGGGGGGATGTTCCATGTCAATGGTAACGTGTTTCACATTCTGATACAATAGTAAGTAACGTTGCTGGTAAGACACCCCCCCACCCCACCCCCCCAAGTGTGTGTGTGTGTGTGTGTGTGGAGGCGAGCAGCACAGTTACCGAGGGCCTCATCTTACTCTCAAGTGGGAACCCTCACACACAATTCGTGCCATTGATTAACTGTGGTAGTGATGATGAATAAATCACTTGCGAGTACATAAGTAAATTGTTACAGCAAGCTCACACACACACACACTGTTGTAACGTAGGCGTCCAACTAAGGTGCTCCTCCTCTACTTCAACATGATCCAAAATACCTCAATGTCTTACGGGATGAAAAGTTCTGAGGGTCATCCAGCACTTGCCGCCTCCACCCCCACCCCCCTGATCCATACCTTGGCCGGGTTTAACCTCCCGGTCAATTACACAAGAGGTTAACTTCGCCGTCGTCTGTGGCTGTTCTTAGTGAGTGTGTGTGTGTTCAGAATTCAAGGCCAACCTGCGCCTTTGCGGGTGGACGATTGCATAAAATTATGTTCAACCCCTGGAGTACGTGGACTTAACCCAAGAGTACAGCGTTATCGTACTCAAGGGAATATGTCATTGCAATTCAACAGGTTAAGTCAATCCACTCAATAAGTTAAGTCATCCCCCACTCAATAAGTTAAGTCATCCCCACTCAAGTGGTTAAGTCATTCCCACTCAATAAGTTAAGTCATCCCCACTCAAGTGGTTAAGTCATTCCCACTCAAGGACTTAAGTCATCATACTCAAGGACTAAAGTCATCGTACTCAAGGAACTAAGTCATCCCACTCTTAAGTTAACTCTATCAACACACTGAAGGGGGTGGCATCAGTGAGGGGCGGGAGAGGAGGCTCACTTTACACACGACGGTGCAGTATTAAAAACTGCTTGTGCTTCAGCTACCCGCCGGCCCGCCACACATGCGTCAGTCAGTGTGCGCGTTGCAGGAGGGGCACGGGAGTCAAGTCAATCAGGGGAGGCATTCATAGAGCTAGCTGACGGATAAAATAACACGAGAGTGTGTGGGTAGCTATCAAAATAATGAATGTAAGTGGGAGGTGAATTTCAGTCAAACCTTATAAATAAAAAAGAAGTAAGTAAAATTTATGCCTCCCATCTAGGTGAAGAAAACTAACCGAAGGAACGAATGAACAGAAAAAGCAGACACTTCACGCCCTCTGCCGATGGCGCCGGGAGCATGAAAATCAGTAGCTGACCCGTGAGTATAAAGGAACGGTCTTTGTGTACAGCAGCACCTCAAGTAAACATGAGTCAACCCTGGGTGACGTATACACCCCACACACACACACTGCCGGTGATTTAATGGGAAAAGGGACGATAAATTTGTATCATATATTTGTGTTTCTTTTTGATGTTTTAGTTGAACCATCTCGACACACACACACCTCACCCACCCACCCATCCATCGATACAGATACCCGTGTAAACGAGAGAGGGCATTGGTGGTGCAAACTTACGATTACTGACAAGACAACTTCTGACTACTGTGTCGGGAGAGAGGGCGCGCGCGCACACACATTGACTGCTGTATCACCAGGCCCCTCACCGGACACATAACCAGTCAGTCAGTCAGTTAGTTGATATATGTACCACCTGTCCTGTAAGCATACGCTGTCAGTGCCTCCCAGCAAACTGTCATAGAACTAACTGAACAGAGACAGTAATGGTGTCATGCCGTCCTTTAAATTCATTTTGCTGAGCACACCATACCACACCACACTAAACTGGAAACCACACCACAGAACCAATAAGAGCCAGAGCCAGGCCAACCCAGATACTGTACGCAGGCGGACAGCCAGGCTAGGTCAGTCACAGGAGGTAAGCAGGCTAAGTCGAGTAGGGAAACACCCAGGAGGCAAGGGCTAGCAGGCAGGTAACCAGGCAGGCTACGGAAGGCAGGCAGGTGGGCAGGCCAGGCCAGAGAACCAGTGATAGCCAACCAGCCAGTGAGCTGGGGAGGGTGGAAGGGAGGGAAGGGGTGGGAGGGACAGGAGACCAGGCTGAGGGGAGAGGCCAGTGGCGGTGTGGTGGGAGAGGAGCGGGGAGAGTGAGGGGTGCAGGGGATCAATACGGGGGAGAGTGAGGGAGTGGGAGGCTTCATACACGGATACTCTCACTACACAATGATACATAAACACACAACAATACACAAGACAATAATGCCCAACGAGGAGACTGACACAACCAGCCAAGAGAACAAATTGGGAATAATGTACAATTGTTGGGGAAAGTTATGCAGAGCGGATGTGACACACACACACACACACACACACACACACACACACACTCTATACCATGTGTGTTAAGAGAGTACATCAGAAAGGTATTTTACCGACTGGGAAACATATAAAGAACAACTAATACAAAGAGATATACAACTTGAGTTATTTAAAAACCTGAAGGGCAAGAGCAGAAAAAGAAAGTGTGCACACGCTGGCATGATAACAAAGACCCGCTGAGGTGAATTATGTAAAGGCGAAGCAGGTGGGCGGGAGACGGGTGGTTGGGGGGGAAGGGGAGGGTGCCCTAGTTGACTACCCATAGAGGTGGTAAGAGCAGTGTTGTGAGCAGGGTGGAGTGTGACATTGTTGTATTTGGTGGATAATACAGTGGTAGTGATGGCGGCGTGTGGAGCGTCGAGTGGGTGGGTGGGTGGGTGGGTGTTGTAGGGTACAAGCCAGTACCTCCGCCACCCACCGCCCAGCCATACTGTTACACATAACCGCCCCTTTTGCCACTCCCCTTGCTCCTCCCTCCACCCACCACAACACAATTTCCCCAAACGCCATAATACACCCGCTAATTACACCCACTGAGGTACAAGAGCTGCGTGTCCCGCCGGACGGCCGCGCGCCCTTCAGTTAGTATTGTGGGCTTTAGCGGGTTAAGCGCGGGATCAAGTGGCTTGTGATAGGCTGCCCGCGACCCAACCACTCCACCACAGGTACCCGTCCCCTCCCTCACACGACACGATAATTATTACAACTAGTCTTCCTATCATGATGGAGGCAAGGAGAGAGGAGTAAGCACGTGTTAGTAATATGCGCGCTCTCTCTCTCTCTCTCTCTCTCTCTCACAGGTGTTACACATCAAGTAGCTTATGAACTTTATTGTTTCATCATTCTGCTGCAAGTTATTATTAGTATCGTTATATTAATAGTAATGTCATTGTTCTATAAATATTAATGACTTCTCGTTTAAATACTTCTGTGATATTTATAATTTCACTAATAACAATATTTGAGCGTCATTTACCTGCTGACAAAACATCACACGTCACTCCTGCCACGGCGGAACGATCAACAAGGGGTGGGGGTGTAGTAGTTACACCTGACACATCAGTCTATCTATCTCACTCTATCTCTACTGAACAAGCAGTACTAGTTGTCACCTCTGGTAATAACAACCCCATACCCGAAATACCTGGCAATACACCTGGGGTCGAGAGCCAAGGCATAACACCTGTCCCCGATCATTACACACACACCGACAACAAGTGATGAACATTATAAATTCTCAGCAATACGAAAAGACTGAAGTAATAATATCAGTAAACGTTGTCGCGATTAAGGTAAAATACCACCAAATAATAAATTAATTCAGCCTGTAAATGGTTGTCCATGTTCCGATACAGAAACGTGACAGAGAAGGGGTGAGTGAATTGACAGCCACCTCGCCTCCTGTGTACCGAAGGCTTAGTAATAAATTGTACCTTGTTTACACTGGTCCTAAAGGGTCGTCAGGTTTGTAAAATACATTCTGATTGTAAAAAACTAATGAAGAGTTTCTGAACAGTGAAGAGTACTTTCCATACCCTGACGGGGCGAGGTAAGAGAACGAATAGTGATCATTTGAGAATGTAGGAGTCTCTATACTGGCTCGTCTAACTCCAGTGTGGACTATATGACCACTGGACCCACACTGTACAGGGGAGGGGGGGGGGGCTTTAGACAACAGCGAGGATGTTGACCACCGAGGACAGCGGTGGGAGGAGACTAGACCCTCACCCCCTCCTCCCCCTTAGGTATAGACAACTGGGTGAACAGGTGTGACTATCTGGGGGACGTATAGTGACTATTTCCATGGAAGGTGTGACTTTCAATGGGTCAAGTAGTGACTGACTATGAGGGTCAAGTGACTATTAGGTCAGTCGTGACTTTCTATGGGGATAATTAGTGGCTACATAGGGGGGAGTAGTGACTATGGGGCGGCGGTTTTCTATATGGCGATTGGGCGAGTGATTACTACTATATCAGCACTTACCGCTTTTGACTAGCCCCGGGGCGAGCAGGTTGGAGAGGTCCGGGTCATCGCCGTACCAGAACACCCACAGCTCCTTCGGGGAGTGACGGAGGGAGTGCCGCTGCTGGTGCTGGGCGTGGTGGTGGTGGTGGTGGTGGTGCCCTGGCATCTGCGAAGAGGGATGCACGGAGTCCTGGGGTCCCCGCCACGAGCGCCGCCACACGCAGAGCACGTCGGCGGCGATCATGCGGGCGTAGGACACCAACACCGGGTCCTCAAGGGGGTCAGCTGGGACTCCGACGCCGCCGCCTCCGACGCCTCCGCCGCCGCCAACGCCGCTTCCGCCAGGGTTGTCCCACACGTACACTCGCCATTTTATCCCGCACAAGTCAGTCTGGAAGAGATAATAACTGTGTGATTGACAGAGAACTATGAAAGAGGAATGAATAGGTCTACTGTATGTGATTGATGACAGGCCGACCAACAACGTGTGCTTGATGACCACGAACATGAAAATGGAATAACGTGATTGATGGGAAATAAATAACATAAGCCAATAACGTGTGCTTGACTGGAGTAAAATGACACGAAAAGTTAATAACAACTTAAACACGAAGAAGGATAATGAAACTAATGCAGACAGGTATGAGGTGAGGTAGGTGACGCTACTAGCAACAAGAGAGGGAGAGGGGGCACTGTTAGTAAATACGTCCGGGATCATGAACAAGTAATAAATGTTGCTAGATCACCACCCAAACCATCGCTGCATCACACTCAAGTTAAAACACCATCAACCCTACACACACACACACACACACATACACCACAACACTACCCACACTATTACGCCCTCACACCACACCATACACTACACCACACACACCACCAGGCCAACACACCACACCTGAGAAAGATAGAGAAAGGGGGTGCAGATACCTTCGCCTAGTCAATACTTTCCACCCGTTCAAAATAAACTCCAACAGCAATATCTGGCCATCTCTGAAATAACTAAACATCAAACAAACGGGTGGAGCTTGGAGTACCTCGCCCTCAGCACAAGGGAAAAGTTATAACTTCGATTAGGAAAACAAAAATTAATGAGAACCAAGGCAACAGCTTCTACCATGAGCGAATTCCAAACGCTTGCAGCTACGGCAGACTCGTCCCAAAATGCTGCAAAATATTGATATATTTCTGAACGGATACAGCGTTCGTCTTAGGCTAGGTTGGTGCCCAGCTGTACTGTCGTTTATTGCCACTGGAGCCTTATGGACCGGTCACCCTATGCCAATATACTAAACAAGAGGATCACCGATTGGAAAAAAAATATCAATAAAAACAACCACTATAATGAATTCATTCCCTCAACACATTTCCATTTAACAAATTTTATTGACATGTTCCGTCAAAGAGAAGCTGCCACAGAGGACCCGTGCAGACCTCGCTCTCCTGTCATCACCACCACTTTAACCTGTCAGCGTCACGAATGTGGGGCCAAACACAGCGGCGCGGGGTGTACCTGTGTCACGCCGGTATGGGAGGTAAGGTGTGCTCCCCAGTCTTATCAGGGCCCGGCCAAACCCAACCTAACCTAACCTAACCTAACCTAACCTAACCTAACCTAACCTAACCTAACCTTATACCCGTGGAATCCAAATAAGTAAGTTTAGCAGAGACGCCCAACCAGGTACTGTGGTCTGTGGGATACTCCAATAAACCAGCCGATGGTCGAGGGAGGTAAAAAATAAATAAAATAAATAAAAGTTGATACAAAAAGTAGGAAAGTCCTCCGCCACAGTAAAGTTCAGACAGCCACAACTCTGAAACACACACACACACACACACATATTATTATTATTATTATTATTATTATTACACACACACAGTTGGTTACTGACCTTTTTGGAGATATTGTAAAACATTCTTATACCAAATCTGATAATAATAATATATATAAAAAAAAACTATCACCATTCGTGCAAGTTATCGTGCTTGTGATACTCCCATGGACGGGAAACTTGCGTGTGTCTGTCCTCAGAAGACGGGCGTAAAAAAAATAATAATAATAATTCCCAAGAGGAGAGTTTTACCAGCACCGCGCGCCACACCGCCACCAGTATAGAATAGTAAACACTGATCCATCCTGTGGCAGCTCTAGTATTGGCGGTAATATGTCATGTTTAACGATAGATCGAACCTTTACACATACTGAAACGAAACACCTTAGTCGTGCTTCTATAACCCAATAGCAGGTGGGGAAACGCCCGGAGCATCACGCGAGCTACATTTCGGTAATCAGGCGTAGAAGTAGTGCTCGCTACACTCACCTGGCTTTACTCCCTTCCACCATAACGGCATCGTGGGGGCGTGAGAACAACAGAACATATGAATGAAGTAACAATAATGGGTCTATGTACACTCAACCCTTATCACTCATGTACACATCTGTCCAACCTATATTTAAAGCTTCCCACCGAGCTCCACTAATGATTTTGTTTTGTTATTTGTTCCAAATGTAAACGTGTGTCCACCAGACACTCAGCCAGGACACACAAACCTCTTGCACACAACTTAAAAGGACCACTAATCATATGCCGCCGACACCTACGACACCTGCACAGGAACCATTAAATAAAAACTGTGTGGTCCGTTAACATGCTGCCCCGCCCCTCCCTAATACCAACATAATGAACAGTTGCTGACGAGTGTGTGGCGGGGGAGAGGCAACAGGTGTACGTGGCGAGCCTCACACCACACTCTTTACTCCCCCACCCCTTCACAACGCACTTATACTTAGTCATTCTTAATGCGTATAACAACGAAAAAGCTATTCGATTCTTAACAATTTGTCTATTGTCTTAAATTGAGTCAATGAGCACCCCCTAATATGCTGGTAACTGAAGAAACAGAAACACAACAGCATGTATTAGACACGACCTTCACCAGTGTGTGATTTTGTTAATTAAAAAAAATCGCTTGCGAGAATCAATGGTTCCTTCGCGTGGATTTCATATCATTACAGAGGTATAACGTCTGAGTCTGGCCAGTGCTTGTCCAATGTGTCATCAAGCCGTGGCCCCATCAACTGAGCGGGACCCAGAGCGGTGTGTGTGTGAGGGTGGGGACGGCGAGGACCCGTTAGTCTGCTCTCCCCGGGACGTGACGCCACCACAACATGGAGGATAAGCTTTACGTCTTTATTTAACCGAACTCAAACTTTCTACTTGGTAATAGATCTACAGCCAACTATAATTAATCAAATATCAAGTATCTGATTTATATTCTAAAACCTCGTTGGTTAGTCGACCACTGCAGGACCACACTTAACGGTTATCGCTTCGGTAATGAACGTGACCACACTTGTCACCCACTCACCACGGTACCCATAATGGTGGTGTTAATTACTAGACCCACCTTCACACACCTCACTTACGGCACACACTTGAGTTACTAACCAAATATAATAGAAACTTCGTGATGGCTTACTGGATCATGACTCACCAAAAATATGTGACAGGGTAATGTGTGTCACGGCTTCAGTTAATTGTCTTTACCTAAGAATGTTGACAGAACTAAACTGACTACCAACAAATTAAAATCATTATATTAAGCTTATTTAAACATATATTACACGCTCACTAAGTCCTTTGAGATTAACAAATACAAGAGAGAAGCACATGCCGGGGTGGAGGTGGTGAGGAGGGGAGGCCAGTGAGTCTCCACCCCTCACCCCCCAACTCTCCTAGCTGCCTGATACCCCCAGAGCGGCCGTCACGTCTGAGGAGAACATTACTACCACAGATGGGACGGACGACCCCCCCCCCCCTCTTCCTTTCCTCCAACGTGATAATTACCCACTGCGGCTCTTGCTCACATCCAACACTTGGTGACGTCACGCTAAATGCAGACTGCGGTCACTTGGGGTTGGTTACCTTCATCACAACAACATTCCTCTCATATTCTCATCACCCATGGTAGCTTCTCCCTCACTCTGGTCTTCCTATTTTCAGTGTTTGCCCGAGACAATTGTAGTTTAATGTTACTATTCTTAATTACTGGAGGTTCAATTAGTCACACACCGTTGATGTGGGATCTCTCTCTCTCTCTCTCTCTCTCTCTCTCTCTCTCTCTACAGTGAGTGGTATGGTCATTTAACGTGTTGTATAATAAAACATGTCAAGTGCTGTACAAGGTGTTTACCGAGTCGCTTAAGAATGTTACGTATCTTAAAACAGTGATTAAGTTCACCGTCATTTCCTGTAGTACTCGTTGGTTTTCTTCGCCATATCCGCTGTTGTATGTATTAACACTCGGCCATGGCGGAGTATACTGTACAATCACGTGCAGCAAATCATGGCAGTACACACCTATGTCTTCAACTTCCTCAAGCGGCTCCGTAAACACAAACATCAAGGGACTTTGTAAATACTGTGTGTACCTGTGATGATGTAAGTGTGTGTGTGTACATCAACTTGGTCTGTGCCTACTGTATAATACTACTGTATATTCAGATGTTAAGTTCCCGCACTGCGCCCACCATCACTGTTGCCAACACCCAAGGCGATTTAATTTCACTCCATATCACAAACTTCACACCAGCTGAATCATCAAAGCCACATTTGTGACGCAGACCGAACGCCATCATCAACAAGACAGCGGATCAGTTTGATTTAGCAGAGAGGGAAGCACCGCACCCTTCACTACACATCACTGCAACACAAATAGTTAATAAGTTATTGACGACGCAGTGCTCTCACGTAGGGAACTAATCTTCAGGTGATGCAAATTGTGTAATAAATACTAATTGGAACCGTAAAGCCTCTCTCAAATTACTGAATGGTAAATACGTTTCACACTAAAGAATGAACAGAGGTAACACGAGGGACCTCTATACAGTATACCTCTCCATAGTGGCGGGGCATAAAAAAATACCCCCTGGTACCACTGTCGGTCAATGAGCCAGGGACAACAAAGGGATGTGTCGAGGGTGTAGCGTGTCGAGGGTGTGGTGTAGCGAGGGATGTGGTGTAGCGAGGGTGTGGTGTAGCGAGGGTGTGGTGTAGCGAGGGTGTGGTGTAGCGAGGGTGTGGTGTAGCGAGAGGGTGTGGTGTATGTGGTGTAGCGAGGGCTTGGTGTGTGTGTGTGTCGAGGGTGTGGTGTAGCGAGGGATGTGGTGTGAGCTTGGTGTGTGTGTGTGTGTGTGTGTGTGTGTGTGTCGAGGGTGTGGTAGCGAGGGATGTGGTGTAGCGAGGGATGTGGTGTAGCGAGGGTGGTGGCGAGGGCTTGGTGTGTGTGTCGAGGGTGTGGTATAGCGAGGGTGTGGTGTAGCGAGGGCTTGGTGTGTGTGAGGGTGTGGTGAAAGGAGGGTGTGGTATAGCGAGGGTGAGGTGTAGA